GGGTGTAACACTTTTCCATTCATACAGAGATAAAAAAGTTGTAGAACAGAGAGTAACGTTTGTCTTGTTGAAGATTTACGGGAATATCGTGACCTGACCTACGTGGAGCTGCAGGAACAAAAGATTCTGGCACCAAGAAGTTTGCAACAACCAACCACACCCCTCCCCCTTTTTAGTATAAAAGGAACCTGAATTTGACTTGGGGAAGGTGGTTATCCAGGACATGAGTCCCCCATCTTCTCGATCTGCCGGCTTTCTGAATAAAGTTGTTATTCCTTGCCCAACACCTCATCTCCCGATTGATTTGCCTGTTGTGTGGCGAGCAGAATGAGTTTGAATGTATCAACAAGAGGCATATCATGTTTCCTCTAAATCGGTCCACGGCCACTGAATGATGCTAAGCTCTGCCTTGTAGACACACTCCCATAGCCAGTGCTACTTATGCAAAAAAGACAGAGTCTCCAAAGGGCACCTCCCGGGCTTGCCTGGATGTCTGAATTCAACATTTCACTAAGGTGGCCAGGTAGTGGGGTTCGATAACCTAGTACAGCAACTCAAGTTAGAGCGGGTTAACCATTCAGCTCAGAGAACCTCATAGTCCAGACACACATCCCTAAATCACAGTGATGTTTATTTGGGGTAGTTGTACATTTCTGAAAACAAATATTAGTCTCCAAACAAACATCCACCGATGGTACATTTTTAATGATTCACTCAACAAGTACACTGCTACAAGCATCTGCTTGCATTAATCATGCGTTGTCCTGGTTTAGATGTTTTCTTCGCTTTAGGCTAGATCCTCAGAAGTTAATTAATGTGTCAAAGGGTAAGACCCTCAATATCCATCAAGTAACTGCTCACAGTTTATATGTCCCAGAGGGCCCAGCATGAGGCTAAGTGCTTACATACATGTCTCATGTATTCTGCACAACTGAACTGCAGCCATTTAAAGAATGCACAGACTGGGTCTGGAGAAGTTAAGCAATTCAGTAAAAGTCATAGCCCTCCTTAGCCATGACGATGGGAGGCAAACCTACGCTCATCAGACATGGAAGACGTGGTCTCTGAGACCTTCCTCCTCTGAGTGAGTACACTATTATATAAAAAAAAAAATCCATCAACTTGCTTTTGCTATCCCATTGCTCTTTTAATTTTTATTTTTTGATTTCTGGTTGTTTTTTTCTTTTTCCAAGATGAACTATCCCCACTGATGACAGGTTAATGGAGGCAGGGGTGGGATATTTGTTTTTTGTTTGTTTTGGGTGAGGGGAGATAGTTAGGTTTATTTACTTACTTTTTATGTTTAATGGAGGCACTGGGGATTGAACCGAGGACCTTGTGCATGCTAAGCATGCGCTCTACCGCTGAGCTACACCCTGCCCGAGGGCTTAATCTTTTAAACAAAGCTAAATCACAAATGCTTCCCAGGGGAAGGTGGGAAATAGCGTAACTTAGCTTCTTCTTTTCTTTCCCTGAAGTCAGTATCACCTCCTCTGGTCGCAATTTGCCAGAGCAAAGCAGCACCCAATGTTTGAGGCCCTGTAGAAGAGGGAACAGTTGGGAAGCAGTGATGGGGCCAAAGGCAGAAACAAAGGAGCTTATAAAATGCCATCCCCAAGAGATTCAAAAGCCCACGTTTATCCATCATGCCATTTCCCAAGTGTCCTACAGCTTGATGGTCATGGAAGGTGGTCCTCGGGACAGTGGGTTTAGAGTAAATGAGATTCTCCCCTTGTTTGATCAGTTCACTCACATCTGATGAGAGGTCTGGGGGCTCCCTTCCTCAGACTGGCTAATGTCTAATGGGTCCGAGTATTTGTGAAACAGGCGAGGGATCTCAGAATCCCTTGAGGGGCACTCCTAGGACACTCAGGTGTTCCTGGCAAGATTCTGGAGGCAAACAAGAACTTCAAATCAATGCCTCAGGAATTCTCACTGGTTAAAGTAAGGCCATGGGTGGAGATCAACACTGCTCTACTGGGAGCAGGAAAACTCAGAATGAACTGGGACACAGTCTCTGTCTGTAGACAGTTTCTCTGGGTCACTGCAAGCCATGCCCCCACCACCACCACCACCACATTCCCTGCACACTGTTCTCTCTCGTCCTTGCCCTCATGCAGCTGCTGGAACTGTCCCAAACTTCTCTGTTTTCAGAGCACTTCCCTACTATGTTCACCACTGCTGGCAGAAACACCACCATGTCGAGAAGCTTCAATACTTACCCCAGTCCACCCCCATGGGGATAAAGAAAAAATCAGCTAAACAAAAAAAGGATGACTTTTGAAATCAGCATAGACTGTTTAATCACTCTCAATAACACCATTTGTGACTTCAGAATCCTTCTCTGGACAGCATCTGAGGGTGTTCCCAGAAATGATTTTTGAATAGCATGCATGAAGACAACATACTCTGGAACAGTGTCAAAACAGTGACAAAAAGTGGACAGACTCTGTTCTACCCTGTATACCAGCTTAATCTCTTTAATTCAACTTCCATCCCATCCCCACCAAGAAGGAAGGTCCGTTCCTCAGACTCTCTGTTCTACTGTAAATTTAATTTGTTAGGAATTTCAACATGCATTCAAGGTGTCTCAGATGTGGTGAAACAATGTGCTAAGCACAAGGGTTTATAAGTCATACACACAAATGCAGTTCTGGTCTTCTGCATTCTCTGCTCACTCAATGTACATTTTGACTGTAATTGGTACAAAGTGTTCCACGACACAGGAATGTACCATGGAGGTCAAATCTTCGAGATAAATCAACCCGCCCTGGCCCTACGGATGAAACTATCACCACGATGGTCCTTTCCGCTGTGTATATGACAAGGCCTCCAAGGCCTTTCCCTGTGCAAGAAGGAGCTCACTCTACATTCACGAGGTTAAATCCATAGTGTCTGATGTGCCTCTCCTGGTAACACTGCCATGTTTTGGTTGGATGGTGATTCCACTGAGCACAGGTCACTGGTACCTCCAAGTGGGGGCCTCTCTTTGTCCCCAAAATGGCAGTTCTTCA